TGTCGATTTTTATTATTTCTGGTTTATTTGCCACATTATAAGCAATACATTATTTTTGTTTTACTTCTAGTGTTGCATATTGTTCATTTATTTCCATTGCATGTTTTCATTTGCCGTTCTATTCCCTGTCGCAGTTCGATCTGCGTGTTGTCAATTTTCGCGAATTTTCGTTTTTTTTTTGTTTTTTTTTGCCGGGGATCTCCTGGCAAACGCCCACCCCTTCTTTTTGGCAATTTTCCATGTTCAGGACCCTGGGCTTATAATCGGATAAATACGGTACCTTAAGTAAACAAACAGGTTTGTACAACCCTACTATTTGGTGAGAAACAAGCAGTCCTGTCTTTAGGATCCCTCAAATTGCTCTTACATTGTTTTATTTTTATTTTTGCAATTATATTGAAACATGATCGCTTACACACATATTTTAAACTGTCTCTTGCTTGCCACTTGACCTCTTGATGTTTCATGTGTTTTATTTCTCTGCTGTAAGATTTCCAAACTACAAGGCTATAATAGTTTTCTATGTTTCATTTATTTGTAGCCAATTTTCATTTACGTAATGGTGCGGTACTATGGCGTATTAATTGGCTGGGTGACGTATCTCCACGTGGCCTGACAGCATCCTGTGGACTTATGGTCAATTATAGATATTTCCTGGATAATACAGACTGGAACAGTCGCCGATATATGGAAGAACATCATATTGAGACCACACAACAAGTATTAGATTTAGTCGCAGAATACAATCAAATTTACACAGCACATTTAAGCAATTTGTAACAAATCTGTATATATCATTTGTATTTTCTGTTTCGCCATAATTTTTCCCACCAATAATTTTTTTTATCATATTAGTGATTGTCCCGTCATCTAGTGTCACCTTTTTATTTTTTCGACTTCTTGAAAACTACAAGCCTGAATGCTTTGATACTTCGTGTATATATACCTTAAGTAGACCTCTCTTAGATTTGTTCATTTCGTGATGATTTCGTCAATTCTCCAATTTTGATAAATATTTTTGTAATATACCAAATATTACAAAAAGTGATATTTTCGACTTCTTGTTGAAATTAAACAGCAAGCCTGATTGCTTTGATACTATACATATGTGTACCTCAGGTAGACCTCTCTCAGATTTGTTCATTTCCCTATGATATCTTCAGTTCTTTAATTGAAATGTGCATTGCTAACATTGCAGCTATCTAATCCAAGAGGCTGCTTGTTAAATTCAGTTTAAAAAAAAACAGTATAATTTGCATTTTCTTTCTCATGAAAGCCATAAGTGGCCACAAGTGAGCTGGAAAGTCACACAATACTTGGGAAGCAAATTATAGTTTTGTTCATTGCTATCAATATTTTAGGTAATATGTTTTTACATTTAATTTCAAATTATAAAAATGTCATGCTTCATAAATATTATTATGTGTTGTGAAATTAAAAGCAATAAGGTATGTGGTTTATTGTCTGAAATATTTACTATAAATCTTGCTGGGGTTTGATATAACGGGTGGAGATGGCAAGCTTGAAATAAACTTCCAGGATGTATATATATATATATATATATATTGTGCAATAAGTTACGTAATAAAGTAATTTCAATTAAATAAACATTTCTGTGGATTAGTTTTTTTACCTTGCCCATATCATCAAAGATGGAAAGGAAAGGTATATTAAGGGGCAAATGTTTGTCGTTGTTGTTGTTGTTAACAATTGTTAATGTGTGCAAATTAACTTTACTGATTCTATTCTAAACTGTATAAAACTTGGTCACCTAATTCATCAGTATAAAATCTTCCCTTAGTATGAGTGACAGATTTCCTGTGTGAAATTATCATGCAAAAATTGAAAAAATCTGATAAAATATTTTGACTGCTTCTACTTGACTGATCACTGGTGATACACGTTTATGGGTCACTGATCTCAGTGAGAATATGCATTGTTGTATGTGTTCAATGAAGTAAATCATTTATTACTACCTTATACTAAAATATATTT